TGGCCTCCCTTCTGGTCTCCTGCCCTGCCCAGCCAGCCCCTTTTATCTCCCAGCAGAGAGGTGAGGCTCTGTGAGGTCACAAAGACCCAGGAGAGTGGGGTTGGGTTCCCAAGGCAGCAACAGCACCCTTGGGATTGGCTGAGTCCTGAAGATGATGTCAACAATCCCTCTGATCATGTGATTCATCCACAAAAGCTTGCATTTTGCATGCTTTTTTAAAATTTGTGGCCTATTAACGTATCCCCTGTGACCAATACCTCTGATTGTTAAATCTTCCCATGTTGGCCTTCTGACAGGATTCTAGGCTGGTGCTCTAAAAAGTTATCTTGTATTTGCATGAAAAGGAACTTTCCTAAGCCCTGAGCTAGGGGGGAAAACGAAAGTAATAAATGAATAAGGATGGGCACAGTCACACAATGATGCTTTTTTTGCCTCTTTTTGGACATTTTTTTCTTGCCCTTGCCATGAAAAAGATATTATAAGGAACCTGTTAAGAAAACAACCTAAGTGTTTGAAACACATATGAGTATTTTAACACCATCCCTGCACTATCAAAGATGCAGCTGTGTTTCAAAGATTCTTCCAGCCTTTAGAATTCACTCTCACTGGAAGGCAGATTTGCCCCATCAGTGTTTATTTGTCAATACCACCCATGGGGGGGGGGGGGAGACGTATTTCTCAAAAAGGTTCACCATCACTGATCTATATAAATCCACTTTTAACCATCTGTTTTTCTTCTCATAACTTCTGAACTTTTGAGCTTGCTGACAGTAAGTAAAATACCCCTCCCCTGTAATTTTATACTTAAAGACAGCTTCCTGAGTATTATTTATACAAAGTGCCGGCTCAGGGAAAAGAGTGGAACTATCGAGAGAGACTTCCTGCTAATTCTAATTTTCTTAATTGGGCTTTTGTTAAGCATTTATGGTATATTTAGGCAGATTTCCACTACTCTGAACAGGTTATGCAGCCTAGAATGCCCTTGCAGACAGTTAAAAGAAATATTAGCTAGGAAGTTTTTTTTTCCAAGTTTGTGTTGTTTTCGAAGTATATCTGTGTTTTTGCCACGCAAACTCCGACCAAAAATCTATAGCTAGCTAAAGAAACAGAAAGGGGTAGTGGTTTTTGTTTTTCTGTTTTTGTTTTGTTTTTTGGGGGGTGCTTAGAAGGTGGCAGGATGAACAAGGCTCAGAGGAAAGAATTATGTTGGAAGTTCCCAGAGCTGAAGTAAATTTTGAACAATAGCAGGAAAGATTAATTATTGATTTTGAAGCTTTAAATGTTCATAGATGTCTGGAAGAGGAAAAAATCACAAATAGACACACACACACACACACACACACAAAGGTGGGGGGCAAAGATAGGATGGCAAGATCAATAATTTACAATAGCCTAACAGATCAACAGTTGATTTACATTGAAGGCTGCAAAACAGCAAAAGAGATGACTTAGAGCCTGGATGATACATTTGGGTTGCAGGCTATAAATCTGAAACTATCTCTATCAAGGACTTAATGCGGATTTGTCTGAATAGCAAACAGGATTGTGAAAAGCACAAGTGTATCTGAATTTTTGAATAGATTTGACAATTTAAATATTACTCACTACAAGCTAAATGATAGGCAGAGAATGAGAGTTCTCCTAGCATCCCTAGGAGAATGCTTTGATGCTTTTTCATCTGTTATACATGCTCAGAAACTAGCCTTTCAGAAGTCCCCCAAAACTTTGAGAATAAATGTAGAGAGTAGAAAAGAGGAAACTCCTCAGATTCTTATAAATCAAATTACTTGGCCCAAAACAGGAGCTGTAAAAAGACAACATCCCACAGCCTGTAACTGCTATTAGAATTGTGGCAAAATGGGACACTTGGCCAAAGATTGCCATGCCCCCAGAGATCTTCCAGCTGTGAATAAAGAGCTCAGAAAAGTCAGAATGCAGCTCCCAAGTACAAGAGAAAGAAAGAGAAAGAAAAGCCAAGCAGAGTGGCTTTTTACACAATTACACAAAGCTCACAGAAGTCAAATGACTGGATTATTGATTTGCTTCACCAATTCAACATACTAAAGAGACTTTTTGCAGACATTTGAACCCAAATACTTCTGGAAATATCAGGATAGCTAACTGGAGCTATATGCAGATTGAAGGTAAAGGCTATGGGATTTTGCCATGTGCATTGCCAGATGTAATTTGTGAAAATGCCATAAAGGAAGTGTTGTGTGTACCATATGTATTGGATTGCAAAATGTTGAGTGTATCAGCCTTGGCGAAAGGGGGCTTTACTGTGATGTTTAAAGATGAAAAATTTTGAGTAGAAAGAGACAATGAAATATTCGTATTAGGAAGCTTTTGAAACTAATGCTGTCTACAAATTGAATCTCTTAGATAAACAGGAACTAGCCAACGCAGTATACAGATGGTGAAAAAAAATGAGACCAACTTGGAACTGTGGCATCACATGTTTACCCACAGAGATGCAAAGGCCATCCTAGAATTGCAGAACAACTATCTAGCCACAGGTATTAAGGTAAAGGCATGTGATGCAAACAATACAACCAAATGTGTAAGCTGCACTACAGAAAAATATGTTGGAGCCTCGTTTCATTCAAGTACTGAGAAAAGGGGCACAAAGGTGCTGGACTTCATACACACTGACATCTGTGGGCAAATTAACATAAAAGCATCAGGATGCAACAGGTATATTCTATTATTTGTGGATGATTTTTCAAGGTAGTGTGTCACCTACCTACTGGAGGAGAAAAGTGAGATGCACAACATGATCAAGATGTAAATGGCCATGGTGAGCAACAAATCTGAGAGGAAACTAAAGTTATTTCAGTCTGACAATGCTGGGGAGTACATATCACAACATTTGAACATATTTCTTGAGGTACAGGGCATTTTGCACAGGAAAACTGTCTCATATATGTGAAAACAAAATAGAATTGCTGAGAAAAAATTAAGATCTCGTCTGGAGATGATAAGATGCATGCGTGCATATGCAGAGTTGCTTATCCATTTTTTGGGATAATGCAATCATAACAGCAACATATATCCACAGCAGATTACCAAGCCAAGGTACCACACACAAATAAATAATAGTTGAACTGTGGTATGGCAAAGTGCCAAATGTAAAACACAGACCATTTTAGTTGGCTTTTCCTTCTCAAAAACTGTAGAGGTATGAACCTAAAGACAGATAATGTCAGTGTAAGACATGTGGTTCATTTTGATGAACAAAAGAAGGCTGACAACAGAAGGACTGTGTTAGACAGCTCTAATGAGCAAGATCAATACAACCAGCCTCTCCTAGACAGAACAGTGTTAGTGCCCTCACAACCTGAGTCAAACAGAGAGCAGGAAGATGACATACAAGATGGAAGCAATACAACAAAAAAAGAGGATGTAGGTGGAGTTGTTGACAAAGCTGCACTGGAAGAGACCCCCATGTGACAGAAAGCTGAACCAGCAGTCAGATACTCATTGTGACCCAACAAAGGTGTACCAGCTCCCTGCCTGTCCTATTTTGCAAGGTGATTGCAGACAGATTAACCAGTGACTTGGGAAGAAGCTGATCAGGTGCCAGCAGCAGAGGGCATTAAATGAAGAGAAGCTGTAAAAGAGGAGATTGTAGCCTAACACAAGAATGAAACATTGACATTGACAAAAAGATCATCAAGCAAGAAAGCAATTGGATTCAAGTGAGTGTTCAAAGAGAACAAGCATGCAGGTAGCAAAGTGAAGCTCTGCAAGGAAAGTTAGTTGCCAAAGGTTTTTTGGGGTTTTTTTTTGCGAAAGTATGGAGAAGACTTTGATGAAACTTTTGTGGCAGTTGTCAAGCACAGCACAATAATAAAGCTCCTGAGTATGGCAGCCTCCAGACAGATGGAAGTTAGGCACCTAGATGTCAAGATTGCATTTCTACATGAAGAGATTACAGAGCTGTACATGGAACAAACACCAGATTTTGTTGATCAGAAACATCCTGACTAGAGATGGGGGTATTCAAGTTCATATACAAATTTGAATATCCCGACGCAGTTGGATTTAACAAGAATCTAGCCCCTGGGACCAGACCACCCTCTCAAGTGTCCGCCAGTCGTGGCAGCCCCGCTCATCCTTCTAATCACTCTCTTCCTGCTCGACTGGCCACTCAGCATCTGTGCAGGGAGACTCGTCCTCTTTCCCCCTGCCTGGAGTGGCTAACCAAATGGGAAGAGAGTGGCGGTCCAGGAGCAATTGAGAAGATAAGTGGGGTTACTGCAGCCAGTGGACATGTGAGTGGACGATCTGGCCCCAGGGATCAGACACTCATTGAGTACAGCTATGCGGGGATATTTATATTCATATACAAACACCCCCATCTCTAATCCTGACTTTGTCTGCAAACTGAAGAAAGACCTATATGGGCTGAAGCCTTGTTGCAGTAGCTTCTGCTGGAATGAGATACTGAAGAAGATGCTACTGCAACAAGGCTTCAAGCAAGGCAATGTAGTAGCATCCTCTTCAGTATCTCATGCCGGCAGCTGCTGCTTCTAACAGTGTTGAAACACCCATGCAAACAAACTTTCTTAAAGGTAGAGAGAAAAGAACCTCTACCAAACAATAGCCACTACTGGACAGCTACAGGAAAATCTTTATACAGTGGTGCTCCGCTTGACGATTACCTTGTTAGACGAGGAAATTGCTTAATGATGAGTATTTTGTGATCGCTATAGCGACTGCAAAGCAATGTTTTAATAGGAACAAATCGCTTGACGATGATCGGTTCCCTGCTTTGGGAACCGATATTTTGCTTTACAACGATCAAAACAGCTGATTGTCAGGTTTCAAAATGGCCACCCACTGTTTCAAAATGGCTCCCTGCTGTGTTTAGGAAGGCTTTTTCACTTAACAGGCACAGGAAAATGGCCGCCCTATGGAGGATCTTCGCTGGACACTGAGGTATTTCACCCATTGGAACGCATTGAACCAGTTTTCACTGCATTTCAATGGGTTTTTTACTTTCGCTTGACGACGATTTTGTTCTACAGCGATTTTGCTGGAACAGATTATCCTCGTCAAGTGCGGCGCCACTGTATCATGGTTGTTAGCATGCTATGATCTCTCCTCTTCCCCATAAATTCCTAAGTCCCCTTTTCCTTTTTGTCACCCCTTATGTTAAAAAATAAAAATTATAATAATAATTTAAAAAAGTGTGGCGCCACTGTATCTGACAACCAACACCAGACCTGACATAGCTACTGCTGTAGGAATACTGAGCAGAAAGTATAGCTTACCTACACAGAATGACTGGACAGCTGTCAAAAGAGTAGATACATAAAAGGAGCCATGGATTTAAGCTAAGAGCTGCTATGTCTGAAGATGTTGAGATAGATAAAGAAATACCATTCCAAATTATGGAAAACAACTAAATCTGCATTAACCTGTCACAGGGTGAGGAGGTGAATGCACACACCAAGCACATTGACATGAAACATCTACTGGTGCATGAATTGATTGATAAAGATACCACCTAGATGCCCTAATGCTTAAATACAGAGACAACAGACATCCTGACCCAAACCTCTACCAAGAGACCACTTCCAGAATCTGGGAAGCATGATGGGACTTGTAGAAAGATACTGCATGCCAGATTGAGAATGTTGGTGAATCGGGGATCCTGCATGAAAATCTAACTCAGAATTATGGGAGGAAGCAACCTTTTCCCAAACTAACCTGCAAGTTTCTTTTGTTTACATTACTAACTAATTAACTGAGTTTAATCTTACTGTGGGTGGAAGACACCCTTCTTCCTTCCTTTCTTCCTCTTGTTCTACATTTTTACTGCATTGGTTTGTGAATCTCTTTTTCCAAAGATGTCGCCAGGGGAGGATGGAGACTAAGCCTTTTCTGCATCAACATGGAGATTTCACAGCCATGTGAAGCTGGGAATACACTTTTAACCTTCCATTTTCCTTCTCATAACTTCTGAACTTCTATGCAGCCTGCTGATAGTGAGTAAAATGAATCTTTCCCCCTTTTTATACCTAAAAATAACCTCTTGACTGTTATTTCTACAAAGTGCTGATTTGGGGAGAAGGATGGAACTACAGAGGGAGACTTCTTGCTAATTCTAACTTTTATTAGCTGGGCTTCTTTTGCACATGTACAAGGAATTTAAGCTAATTCCCACAAGTATGAACACAGAATTTATGTCTGGCTGATGTTTGTTTTCTAAATAGTCTGTGGATGACATTATCCTGCTCCATTTATCAAGCAATATCTCTGTGTCTAGTAGCTTTTAATAGTCTGAACTGCTCTATGAGCTCATTTTCCAACTGAGATTAATGCATCTACCATTAAAGAAGACTTCCTTCTTGTTGGCATTATAGAAGAAGTGCAGGATGTACATCTTTCAGCAACCTTTTGATTAAGAAGTTGTTTAATAGAAGCTAAAGATGGGTAAATACTTTTTTATTTAGAAAACTAAAATATTACAAAAGTGGCACAAATGTTTGCACTCTGCAGAACCAATGTTTTGATTTTAGCTGCTGTTACAGTAGTGCTGGCAGATCCTCCTGCCAGCCGGAGTCTGAGATCAGCCAGTACAAGAAACGTTATGCTGGCACAAGAGGCTTCTGCTCCTTCCAAACTCCAATAAAGTCAGCACCTGTTGGAATTATTTTTGCACTGTTAGCCTCTCTGGTCTTCGGGGCCATTTTAAAAAAAGTAAATACTTAAAAGGTATTTCTCATGCTCAAGTCATGCTTTTAATTACATTTACATTACCATCAAAGCATTTTGCAGCACTTGCTGGAAGATTCTATCAAATAGAACGAATGTTTGGCTGAAGATGTCAGAGGTTCTCAGATGCAGTTTAATGCATTTAAAATAGGATCATCAGATTTATGTCTAAACAGGTCTTGAAATGTCACTCCTGGCATGGAGAAAATGCAATCAAAATGCCACATTACTAAACTTTATGAGACATGTAACAACAAATATTAGCAGTTGTTATTATGATATAATTTCAAGCCTGGATTTCAGACAAGAACTTCAATTTTTTTCCCATTACCAATAGAAGCGTAGCATTTATTGTTCTGCACAAGAGTTCTGGCAGAGCAAATCAACATTTTATAAAGCAATTCTAAAAACAGGGCAGGCCAAACAAAAATTTGCAACTTTTAAACTGGGCTTCAAATCAGCACCAAATTTGGCACAAATGTGCTCTTTGGGGAGGTTTGGGCAAAGGGTTTTCAAGTTATGCTTTTTTAAAAAACAAAACTGTCTTACCCTTCCCTTCGGGTTTTCAAGTTATGATTTTTTAAAAAAACAAAACTGTTTTACCCTTCCCTTCAGAAATAGGCAACGCTAAACATCCCCAGATTTGAAACAGATTACATAAATTGAAAAGACCAATCTTGCTTATCTTGAAAGAAAATGGTTAGGCCCATCTGCTTTTTTTTTTATTTTGGAAACAATCCAGGATGCAGGGGCTCAAATTTTATGTATGTATGTATGTATGTATGTATGTATGTATGTATGTATGTATGTATGTATGTATGTATGTA